TCTCTCTCTCTCTCTCTCTCTCTCTCTCTCTCTCTCTCTCTCTCTCTCTCTCTCTCTCTCTCTCTCTCTCTCTCTCTCTCTCTCTCTCTCTCTCTCTCTCTCTCTCTCTCTCTCTCTCTCTCTCTCTCTCTCTCTCTCTCTCTCTCTCTCTCTCTCTCTCTCTCTCTCTCTCTTCTTTCCCCTCATCCCCACTCAAATTATACCGCCATATTTGTAAGAAAAATCGATCATTTCTTGGGTATTACAATATCATGATAATTTTCGAAAAAGAATAATGCATTGATTTCTGATTGCCTTTTCAAAATACGATAAACCACACAATTACATATTTCACTGATTGTCAAAATTCATTTATTCTTGAACGTAACAGATATGTAAACAAACCCAATACAAATTCCGCTGCAGACAGCAATGGTTTTGTACGATGTTTATAGGCGTCCACTGGTCGTTGTACATAAGACCAGTGTATGTTCAAAAGCTACATTGTTCTTAATTCTCTGCATCTCGTTAACAGTTATTTCGCCTTTCTTGATTGTGTATCGCACCCAGGGTGAGTTACAGCTACAGTGATAATATGGTGAAGTTTTCTCTGACAATGCAGACGAAAATCTCCTTTATTTCGTTTATGAATTAGACTGCCAACCAAATACGAAGATGGCCAAGAGAGATTATACTTATTTGTGTAATCTTTTCAAGTTTCACAAGGTTCTTGGGTAATTATTCAGAATAGCGACTCGTCATGGATTGTGACGATTATAGTATCAGTGAATTACTCTCACTCTAGTTTCCAAATATATAGAAATTATTGTGACAATCTTGGTTCCAATAGCAGAGGACGACATGGAAGGTATCTGGGAAATTGCGGGGTAAGATATGACTAATATGTAAAGAACCAGTCACTTTATTGTCAAATGCAGGGGGTTGTGCCCCCTGTGACCACTCCATTGAGGCTGCCGCCCAACAATCCCCACAGTAGAACAAAAAGAATTCTCACTGCATTCACAGCAGGAGAGAGCATAAAACTGACATGTGGGAGTGCCTGAGACTGAGTCTGTCCAAAGCTCTCTCCTGCTGTGAATATGTGGAGGATTCCTTGTTTTTCTGGGCAGGGGTTAGGGGGCAGTAGCCTACTGATAGGGGAGTCATAGGGGGCACAGTCCTTTGCTTTAGACATTATAGTAATGGATTCTGCAATTTCATAGCCTCCCTTGCTATTTGGGTCAAGGATGTGGGGATTTGAGGGGGTTTCTGTGCAATTATTTCTATATCTTTGGAAACTAGAAAGTGAGAAGAATCCATTGATATTTGATCCGTTATGAGCCACTATTCTGAATAATTGGCAATACTTATGACTCAGGAATGGATAGAATGACGTTTCGGCTGATATACAGTAAATTATGGAATATGAAGTCAAGAATTCAATGTTTAATACTAAACAATATTATGTAAGTTTGCTTTAACTAAATCCTTACACCTTACGGCTAAATCCCAAGTCACTGTAGGTGATACAGTTTATTTAAATGATTCAAATTAACATTAAAGATTTTATGAAATATAGTAAATCAATTTTGTAAATTAAATATTTATTTGATAGTTCTGTCAAGGATTTCCCTGTATTTTTATATATCATCATTAACATTTTCTTATTTTAACCGCGAAGAGTAAATTATCCCTTTACATTTAAGGAGCCTGTAGTTGCTAATGTAATTATAAGGACTTCATAGACCCTGAGCATGAACTCGACATCCTGCAATTTATAAGAGCAATATATCTCTCTCTCTCTCTCTCTCTCTCTCTCTCTCTCTCTCTCTCTCTCTCTCTCTCTCTCTCTCTCTCTCTCTCTCTCTCTCTCTCTCTCTCTCTCTCTCTCTCTCTCTCTCTCTCTCTCTCTCTCTCTCTCTCTCTCTCTCTCTCTCTCTCTCTCTCTCTCTCTCTCTCTCTCTCTCTCTCTCTCTCTCTCTCTCATGCATGCACGCATATACACTTTTCTGTCTGTACCTCCCCCAATTGTAACACATGCTTTCACACTAGTTGGCCTAGTTCTTAAACTAGTACTTGACCTGGGAGCTTTGGATGTTGTTTGCTCAAATACTACCTGAGAGCTCAGCTTAAACTGAACTCAGACAGGCATATATAACACATTCATTTTCCTCAACACTGTTTCTGCTCCTTGTACATTTATTTAGAATTTAGATTAATTAGTTCTTTAGTTCTAGATTATCATTAATTTATTCTACAGGCTTGTGGATAAAACATGCAGAATATAGAGAACAGGCAGATGTCCACTTCAAGCACCAAGTCCTCATTGTCAGTGACACAGCTTCAGGCCCTCTTGTGTGGTCTACCCAGCCCTCATTTAATAATCTCATGGGAAATTATTTACGTATTCCATTAGTAAAGGTGAGAATACTGATTATTGTTTTTAACAACAATTATTCTGAAATACAATTCACCATATACTTCAATGCACATGTGAATTGTAGTATATGGTATTTTAAAGTATGATAAGAATTATGTAAGACATGCCATAGATGATAATGATATGAGCAGGTAGTCCATATCAAACTGTAAACTAATTGAAGAAATGAGTTATTTGTAAGTCCAATGATATATTTCCCTGAAGTATATGGCAAATTGTTTTGGATTTTTTTTACACAGTATAAATAATTCCTACATATATAATGTATCAACATTCTTAGTTTTAACAGAAAAGTTATTATCTTTATTTTCTTGTTAGAAGTGAATAACACACAACAGGAGTATGTTTAGTTATCCAGTGTTTAGCTTTTTCTTTTAAAAGAATGATTTATAGACAGAAAGCATCTTTTTATGGTCAGAGCTTAAACATTGATAAAATTTTGGCAGTAAACTTTTATGAATATTAATTTGTTACTTTCTGATTTTCTTTCAGTCATATGAAGAGGATGAAAACCATGACGGTGTGAATGATAGACTAGTCTTCAGCTTGAATATTCCTTTACTGAGCAATGAGTTGGTTTATGGCACCACACTGTTGCTGACATTTGACTACAGACTACATGTAATTATTGTATCATATCTTTGCAAATGAATATAGGGACAGTCTTGTACTGATGACCCTTATTTATTATGTAATGGGATACACATGAATGTTATTTGACAAGTATATAAGAATAGTTTGTATATTTTGCAATAGAGCCAGTAGGGCTTCAACAATTGTAGCAATTAAAGCTTTGGTGTGTAACTTCATACTCATATTTATTCTACATCAAGTGAATAAGAAAAGGAAAATATTTTTTTTCCCCCTGTGTATTTTGGAGTCTTAGCTCTCTTTAACTCTGTCATTCTATACTATAATAATTATTTTTTTTCCACAGCACATGTGTGAGTTGATAATGGAGGGTGCAGGACTGTTTCAGCATACTAGTGGAGTTCCCGTGTCAGCCTTTCATGTCACAACTGACCTAGCCCTGCACCAACGTCAGCCTCTTCCTCCCTCTGGCATACATGCTTTATATAACACATCCATACTGCCATCATCCGTCTCTGACACAAGAAGCTGGAGATTTCAGGAAATTTTCTCCAGTTACTGGAAAAGAAATAGTAAGGTTTTGTTTCCTTTGTAAACAGATAATTGTAAATAATTGAGGTACTATCGTGGAAATTTGTAGCTATATCTTAAGAAGATATTAATTTATTATAATGCATAATGTAAAAATCATTCATATTCATATTTTGCTTATTAATTTACCTTTACCCTATTTGCTATGAAGGGAAAATTGATCATTTGTTCCTAGTCTAACTTTCTTAAAAAGAATAGAAAAGGTATTGGTCATGTGACATATTGTGATGCAATAATGGAATGTGTGCTATAATTTTTGTACTTTGATTTCTGACGCTAATTACTATTTTCAGTTACGACCAGATTTACCAACTTGTACACCAGCTGGCAGACAGGACAGAGTGATTCATTTACCATAAATTTGGTTGTGCAGTACCCAGAACAAACTGTTTTGTATATTCCTGGGTTTTGGTATGTGCTTAAATGGGCATGGATACAATATTTTGCTGTCTTAGTGATCTTGGCATATGTTATTAGTCTGATTAAGGACTGGGTTTACCAGAACCAGGTTGTGTCAACATGGGTTCAATTCCCTTCAAAGAAAGATGGGTAGAGTTCTGAATAGAAATAGCAAACAAATTTCCATGTTATGTGTACAATTACAATGCAATTATCTAGTCATAATCAGTGATTAAGGGTTTAGAGAGTCAGGTGTTGATGTTAATCCAAGAAGTCATCTTGCCCATTGTCATGTATGTGTCAATTTTTTGTTTATAATCTTATATAATAATACAGAGTTCATAATCTTTATTGATAGAACTGTACCGTGCCTACCGTCCAAAGTGTATATCATTGATTTGTAAAATCTGTACTTTAAAAATTAATTAATTCGTAAAAAAAAAAAAAAATCAGATTAAGTGTGCCTGGAATGGGGATGTCTGTTACCATCATTGTTCTGTAAATGTCTTTCACATGCATAGTCAGATGTATGACTCACTTCCAAGTTGTAGTTGTCTCCCAACTTTGACATATCAGTAAAACAAGACAGTTATGGATATACTATCTTGTGAATGGTAGGACCATATCCCTGATTAAGGTTTTTGCCAATAGAGCTAAAACAGGTGTGCTCTCTAAAATTTGTTTTAACTATATACCGTAATATCTCTTATTGCATTAATAACATCTCAGTAATATCTATATTACCTATCATTTGATGGACACTGGAAGTATGAATGGCTTCTACATGAGCTTTTTTTTTTTGAGCTGCTGCTGCTGCTGCTGCTGCTGCTGCTGCTGCTGCTGCTGCTTTTTTTTTTTTTTTTTTTTTTTTTTTTTTTTTTTTTTTTTTTTTTTTTTTTTTTTTTTTTTTTTTTTTTTACCAAAGGCAACTCTAGAACCCATTAATGTCAGTGGCACAATACAGCTCCAAAGGAAGTAAGATCAGAGAAAACATGCTTCAATAACCATTGTAAACTTTAATTATTACAACCTAATCACAAACCAAATCACTGGTAAGATATGTGGATGGAAAAGTAAGGAGAATTGTCATGGAGTTGACTTGTTCAATTCATCCTCAAGTTGCAAAAATATATCCATTTCAAATTCATATCTCATTGTATGAAGTTTAAGAACAATCCAAGATCAGTCATGGCTACTATGTTAATATGTTTTTGATACAATTCAGTATGTATCATATTTTGATTCTAAATCCAATATTATATGGTATCAGTGCCTCAGACTATAAACATAAAATACCTTCAAGAATTATTTTATACTTTAAATGACTGTGAAGGATCTGAACGAAGGTAGATTTAATAGTAGTGTATCATTTTGCATGATGGGACTACAAAGAAATATATTTTTGTTATCTTATTTGGGCTGAATGAACTATAATGTCTTTTTTGTCTTTTCATTTGTATTAATGTCTTCTTTTTTCTTCTTACTTGTATTAATGCAATTTTTTCTGTATATCAAATGGATTTTTTTTTCCCATGGTAAATATAATACTGGAAAAACATTAATTTTAGACTTTCCTTGAGAGTCACTGAGTTGTAAGTTCTCCTAGCCCACTCAAATCAATATTTTTCTAGACAGAGGAAGGATATAATGAAGTCTGATGGGTTGAAGATAACAAAGTGGGTCTAGGTGCCAGTGTTACTGTATCTTGCCAGTATTGTATTTAAATAAACATTTAATTTTTTGTGCAGTATTTATTTTATTAAATATTTGTAAATCAAGTTGTGTTTTGAGACTGTGACCTGAGAATAAAAAGAAAAACTATACAGTCTTTAAATCTGCTGAAACCATCACTCTAACATTATATGAAAGTAATAACGATTACATGGTACATGCAAAGACCTGGTTTTAAATAAAATTAACATACATATCTAACTGTGACCATAACATATTTAGTAAATCTTCTTTCATGTTTATTATAAAGCAGTTTTATTGACTCTGTGGATTTATAGACAAGAGATGCATAACCACATTACAAAATTAGTGCAAAATTCAGCAGAGACAGGCATGCTAGTCTGACAGATTAGGTTACTCTTCAAAAGGTATTTTTTCAATAATCTAAGAGCATTATATATCCAAACAAGAGAAGGTTATTCTTCCATAATGCAACCGAAAACTTAATGTAACTACTGCAATAGTATGCCTTGGAATTTTAGGTTATAATTTTTTGTAGCCTTTTTTACACTGGATATCTAAAAGAATATTTTAACAATATTTACCTTTGCATTTACCAAATATGTTAAAAAAATCAAGAAATAGGACAAAAATTCTGATCTAAAGATAAGAATTTATATTGGTTACTATTGACATGATAATCTACACCTCTAAATTCTCTATTTTTTCTGAAATTGTAAAGTATTTAAGATTCTTGTTGTTAACACATTAATGATAGCTTGATCCTATCTCTTGTTTTTAGAAGATATTAAAAATTAGGAAGAGAAAGGAAGACATATATCTAATTCTTAAATAAGTAAATAAAAAAATCTGCACTTTATAGTAACCAATGTGATTAGGTGATTATTTTTTTGTTATATAAGAAGCTGGTAAAGTGGTCATTCACCCATAATTTTTCTTGTGTATGAGGAATATTAATAAAAAAACAAAGATTATAAATCAATAGACAAAGGCACTCTAGCTACAAGTGTGCCTAAAAATGTCAAATCTTAGTCTTTTAGTTATAGAGAGAAAATTTACAAATTAATGAAATTCACAAAGTGGGTTTCAACAAACTTGCAATGAAATGTGACCCTGCAGGCAGTCTTTTAAACAACATAAACATTTGGCAAATTATATTCTTTACAGATTATTTCCTTTAATTATTAAAGGCAACATGCTAAATCCAAATCCAAATACTGATATTCAGAAATAAAAATCATAACAGTGAAGCTTCAATTATTACTTTATATGCGGATATGTGCATCCAAAGGTATTCTTGCCAAAAATACATCTATTAAGTTTTTTGGTATTCAAAATTTCAACTATAACATAGACATAAATATATTCACATTAATGCAATCTCATGATGGTAGTGCATTCAGGTGAATATATCAGTGGTTATGTTACAGATGAAATTTGGAAAAAAAAAAAAAAAAAAAATAATAATAATAATAAAGTTTTTTCGGGCATTATGTTTGAGAACCCCTTTTGATGGGCATACCTTCATATATGATTGCATTACTGGAAAATCATAACATGTCTAAATGACGTTATAGGACATATATATGAAAAGCACAGAGAATATCATCATAAAAAAATCCTTCTCAACAAAAACAGTGGTGGACAAATATTCTACAACATGATATCAAGAATTTATGAAGTACTAGACTGGTTTGCTTTTTTTCTTTTCATAGACACTGACAAACTTATTATCTGCAACATAGAAGCGAAGAGGTTTATTAGCCCATTCTTCACCAGCTGATTCAATGCCAATCCTTTTTCCAATAACCACCTGACTTTCAGGAATAGATGTGCCAGCCTCTAGCCAAAGAACATTTGATGTTGAGAGATCCAACTTGTTACAGGAATCCTGGAAATTAAATAAGGACACAGTGACATACACATCACTTAATTTTTAGAGTTTATAGTCAGTGTCACTGATAGGAGCAAATATTAAAAATTGTAATAATACTTGTAAATACAATGATAACAATTTCAAACCATATTGTATCACCCTGGATACTATTTCCTTACCTTGGTCATGTCAAGTGCTTGACAAAGTTTAGAGGGGCCATTACAGAGCTGATGTGTTTTTAGAGGAGTTGTGTTCTTTCGTCTCTGGTTCCTCCCAACTGCCATAATTGACATTCCTTCTACTGGCTCCAATGCACGGACCAGCACACAGGATCCATCCCCTTGGTAGCCAAATTAGAATGACATACTTTAGTTCAGGAGCCAATTTATCCAGTACTTATCTTAAATGAACATAAGGTTATGAAAGTAAACAGAAAAAAAAAATTTATATACATATATAAAGGAAAAGAGCATATCAAAAATAATTTTAAATGCTGACATTAAGTCACTGTTTCCTATACATTTTAAAAACATGAAAAGGTTAAGTAATGTTTAACTGTTAAAGTTTATGTACTGCCCACTATAGTCTTTTGTGAATTATATTTCACACAAAAGGCTCCACATGTGCTCAACCACCAAAGAGTCAATTATTTGGCTCTAGTTACTGCACCTGATTTCCCCATTCCCTGAATTTGCAAGATTTTTTTTCTAATGCTATTACTCATATGGTTATTGAAATTGTAATTATTATAATGTTATTAAAATATCAATAGCAAAGAAAACAGTAAAAAATATAAAGGAATCTTTCCGGCAATTAAGTAAAGTGTAAACAGGTAAGATATGTAGAACTAGTAATTGACTCCTTGATGACCCAGCAGTTGTGGAGTTACCTCAGTGCAAACACAATCAATAAACTAATATTATATTGGACTTGGCATGTAATCATGCCATGCACATCCAATGGTTAAAAATTAGATGAAACAATAAAAAAACTTTGTGAACATATGTTATGGATGAATGTGAAAGTTAACATGTTGGCAATGCCCTCAAAAAGTTTTATGATGAAATTAGTATCATAAGTAAGTCTAATAACTATTTCATCTGTAAGGGTGATGAATCATATGCATGGTGACACTGTGATATCACATTTAGTTAGTACTCTGATATGATATTATTTTAATGATTTAAAGTCTCTTAAGTCTTCTAATCTTCAAATCTGTTACTATGAAGAGACTGACAGGGAAACTTTCTCAGTAACCCTGAGCTTTTACATGTGATTTTCTTACCTTTATTTATCCTTGACCTTTCTCTTAATTTTTTTTGTAATTCTAGAGTTATTACGCTACTATATCTTCACTTAGGAAAGAAGTTATATTAACTCACTAGCGACTATTATGATGCAGCTGTTACATCTTGTACACCATTTTCTTTGCAGTACTGATTAAAGGCATTTCCATATATTTTGAAAGGAAAATAATAAGAAAATAATCAAACACCCAAAGGAAATATAAAAATTTGGATGATAGAGGGTCCTTCCAGTACTGTATTCTAACTTTGCTCATCTTTTAAGCCCTGTATCTCAAAATGTAAAGCAACATTTCTTATCAATACATTTATGATCAGTGCTTTCAATTTGTTATCATAATATAGCTACTTAAAGGTAATTATTTTATTTTCATGTAAAGAAGAGTCTTTTTTCCCAAATAAAATTTCTGCTTTTGTCACGAAATTAGAAAAAAATTAAATAATCAATACTACACATAAAAAATAAAACTAAGCTCCTGAATGACACTAGAAATCGGTAATAAACCTGTTAAATTTACCTCACATTTTTGTTTAAAGAATAATCTAGTTCTAGCAAAGCTTGAAACTCAATGAAAATGTGGTTTATTTTTGCTATCTTTTTATAAACAATTGTGTATTTTCAAACAACTGATCCTTAATTATTACCTTGAGAGGATACATTAAAGCAAAAGTACATCCCATATATTGGGTACACATAGGCTGTACCCGGCTTCATGTACATGGGCTCATTCCTGGGGGTCCTCTTGTTGTTGTGACTGTGAGATGCCACGTCTTCTCCTCCAAGGTAACTTTCTGTTTCCACAATGACGCCTGATACACGAACACCATCAATCATTCTCACCATAACTTGACCTGTGTTCGGTTCAAAAAGCTTTAGATATACATTTTCATATACACATAAAGGTAAAATAATTATATATTTCATATTAACATGTAATCCATCTATATTTAATCAAATCACATATACCGAAACTCATTTCAATCTAAATCAAAAGAGCCTGAATCAAGCTACTCTAAAATCATGACCACTTTGGACCAGTAACATTCAGTGAAAAAATATCACCTACCTAATAATGCTTTAGCAAGGGTCACACACTCCTGATTGTAAAAACTGTATGTTAACCTTCTCGCAGGCAACACAGATGAAGCTGCTACTTGTGACTGCTGGATACAAGGCTGTTGGTTTTTACTTGTAGATTCATCAGGATCCAAGTTACACACACCATCTGAAGTGCTCTGATTATCTCTGCTTTCCACTGCTGTACTACAGCTGCTCTCATCACCATCACCATCATTTGAATTATTGAAGTATGGGCTAACAGTTGGATCACTTGTTGCAAGGGATAAATCTGTACATAGCTTTTTGGTATGGTGATTCGAAAGCTCTCTCAGTCTTTTAGACATTTTATGATGTTCACAACTTATAATTCTGTGCAAGTCTTGTCCAAAAATTAAGTATTACTTTTCAAATTATTCTTAAATACAAAAATATATAAAATAATAACTACACTTTATCATTTAAAACTAAAACTTCACTAGAGAATGTGTATTAATAAACTTTCTATGTACATTCATAATATCTTTTAGTCTCTTATCACTAACTTTGCTTATTAGTGCTTTTTTTAAAGCACTTATCACATTTATAACTATTTTGGCTATTGCGTGAATGATAGTCACGGGCTATCCATGCACTCATTCGTCCCATGCTCTGAACATAATCCATCATTGAGGCAAACTTCTGAGCACTCTCAATGTAAGCTCTCTTATGATTGTAGGCACTCATAGTGTAGTAGTCCCATTCATAAGGATAACCTGTATAATAGTTCTGCTGCTGCTGGCTCCACTGCGCTCCTCCTTCTCCTCCTGGTGGCTGGAAATTCTGGTAAGCTCCTCCATATGAAGGATAATCTGTCTGTGCATATTGCTGATAACCTGCACTATACATACCATGCATCTGGCTCCAATAATCCCTTTGCTGCTGTTGACTATCATAATATCCATTATAACTTTGCTGGTAATGACAATCAGTGCTTGAGCTACTCTCAAAAGAAGTGTCTGTGCTGGTAGATGTGGGCCTCTTTGTTAGCTTCTTTTGTACCTTTTTAGACTTTGGTTCTCTTCTCATTTCTAAATCTTCTTGTGATTGTTTATGGTGTGACCTTGACTTCTTTACCGTTTGTTTTATTTCTTGAGACTTGAGTACTTTTTCTTTGTTTCCTCTTGAATTACTGGTCTTCTTTGAGGAACACAGTTCTGAGGTAGACTGAGTTGTGCTCTTGGAAGACTGATATAACCCACTGACAGAATCTGTGTTGACTTTACTCTCCCTCTCTGACAACGAACTCTCTGTTACTTTGTCAGCACAATCAGCAGTAAGTGTAATGCCGTTAACTTCATGTGTTGATACAGCTGTTTCTGGGGATAATCCATTTTCATCTGGCTCTAAAAGATTTATATGCTCTGTCAAATCACTGCAAGATTCTTTACAATCATTGCTGTGAGGAAGCAAACTTGGATCTTTTCCTTCAATTAAAGCCTGAAGTGCTTCTTTTATATCAACTTTTGAGGACTTCCAGAATGTATCTATACTTGCAATTTTGTTTTCAAGGTCCTCATTAGTGTCCTCTATGTGGTCACAGAGAACCTTCAGCTCTGATTCAGATGGATTCAGTCTATCAGGCAAGGATGGAATAGTAATTGTTGAAGAAACACTTTCTGTGTCATGTTTCTCTGACAGTTCCTTGTAAATCTCTGCATATGAAAACTTATGAAAGGAAGAGCTTACCTTACTAAGAAGGGCTGAAACGATTTTCAGGTTTTCTGCTTTCTTTTCTATTGCTTTTTTTGCCACTTCTTCAGGATTGCTTTCTTTCTTACATGATAGATCATCATTTATAGTTTCCTTTGTATTCCTTACATCACCCTTTCCATGATCATCTGGTTTATCACTTTTACTTTCCTGTTTTACAATTGTCTTATTCTGCTTGTGACCTTTTTTTCTCACTGACTTATCCTTCAGATTTTCTTTTTCAGATTCATCATGTATTTCTAGTTTTGAATTAGATCTTTTCCCTACTGACTCAGTTATTCTCTCTCCTACATTCCCATTTTGTATACTCTTCATAACTTGTTGGTCTCGTGAAAAGCCTTTTTTCATGCTTACCTCAAGCCATAGATTCAGTTCCTCTTCCCCCAGCATCTCTACTTCCTCCATTACTTCTAACCTCTTACTAGTGATATTGAGTCCCATTCCCAAGGCCCCCTCTTGAAAGTAAAATTTTAAAGCTTTTCACATTTTGGGCCAAAGGCGTTTTCCCCCCCCCCCCCCAAACCCCCCAAAAAAAAAAAAAAAAAAAAAAAAAAAAAAAAATTTAAAGCCCCTTCCTCCCCAATT